CATACACCCATGTTTCATTTCAAATGTCTTAAGACCAATATTTTACAAATATTGCTTAACTATATATTAATCTTCATAATTGTTCACCATCCTGACCACTTTCCAAGATTTGTTTTTTACCCATTCTATTCTAATATTCTATTAATTTACACTATCAGTCCTATGCAGAATTGAAACTTGAATTTGCTCTAATAAAAAATAAAGTTTTTTAAAAACATGGGAAGAAAAGCAAATCATAAGCGAAATCATCATTTAAAAATAAGCAATTAAGTACAGTAATTAAAACTATGTAAACAGATGTTGTTTTAATTGTATTTGAACCATGGCCCAATACAAAACTTCAATATATTATTATTCTTACTTACTTACTTACACAGTCTTCTTACTAATAAACACAGCACTCTGAAAATACTAAGATTCTTTCATCTTCATATACAAAGTTGGTTGCAAGTAACTGGTTTAGTAGTGCAAATCAAAATTCTAATTCCAGTTGTACCAAGGAGAAAACCAAATTTGTCAATAATTTGTATTGAGCAACAATTTGATCAGATTTTATTTCTATAAAAATGGCTGCAAAATAATCTGCAAAATACAGGTAAAAATATTCCTTTCAAAACTACAGCAACATTATCACAGTTGCAGTAAAAGTAAAGTTATTAGTCTAGAAAGTCGAAAATGTGCTATCAAGTTGGTGCTGCTCTTTTTTAACCATTTTTTTTCATTCTAATTTGTACATCATCTGATTCTTTGTGTATTTCAATCATGCCCCCATCACTATTGTAACTGAGTCCATTCACCTTGCTGTAGGTTGCCTTCTTCTCTACTCTCCTTCCACAATGTGTCAAAAGTAGAAAAATTTGAATATGGTCATGTATGTCTCAAGTGAGAATTCTGAATTGAGTTCTTCAATAATCCATTTGTTTTCTTGGTTGTTCATACTATTCTCAACAGTCTTCTCCAACATCAAACATCAACATTCTTTCAATCCTAGTTCTTATTTCCATCTTACTAAAAACATTACATATATTATGACAAGCTATATACAAGCATATACATGAAAGTCATGCCAAAACAAAACAAATTGTAACTCCTTCATACACAGCTGTAATAGTAAAATATCTCATGTGTCTTATAGATTTCAAGAAAATGTTTCATTTAACAAATTTATAGTCACCCATCTACCAAAATAATTGTATTTTTCCTACTTCTTACAGCAATTAACAGTTTTTAAAAAAACTGATGAATTACATTACAGGATAGATATCTCTACTGCATTCTACACATATCCTAACAAATGCAAATATTCACCCATGTGAAAATACTATTAGTTGATGAAAACTCAGCATCACCTTAAGTGAGAAATTTAAGCCTAGTCAGACTTTCTTAAATAAGGTGAGAATTTAAATTACAGACGTAAGATTGAAGATGTATGTTTAACTGAATAATCCCAAGATAATTATGCTATGTCTGATCCATTTTCTTAATTGCAATATTATGTATATGAAAAAGATTAATAGGCCATTTACATTTTAATACTCATCGGTAGGAAAGAACAAATCTAAGGTTAAATTTATGTTAATCACCATAAAAGACAATAATTCACAATATTTTATCAGGAAAAGTTGCGGAAAGTTGCATACAAAAGTCTTATCTTCAGTACTACAGGAAGCATTTTCTCATCTTACTTTGCACAGTGAAAGATTCATGTTTTCATTTCCACTGCCTTTCCTCGGGTTAATTTGACAATTTGCAGACTGTTTATCCTGTGGCATTGTGGCTTGAGTAATATGGTTTTGTTAAAACATATCTGTTACCCTTCAGACAAGTATGGATGCTTCTCATCTTTCTTCACTTACTACCATACCCCCAAGTCAGCAGATTTGGTCTGTTGTACCATTATTTTTGAAGAGTGATTTCAAAGAATCCTATAAAGACTCTTTGTCACACACTTCTGTAAGTAGTGATATATATTATGGAGATTAAGAATGAAATATTTTAATTTTCATTCTTGAACAATTGTGCCTAGCTATTATTTAAGAAAAATTACGTATAATTAATACTGCAAAGTCAACAGGTTGAAAAGATGCTTAGTCAGATCTGGGAAGCAAAGCAATACATTGCAGCATATATTATCATTAAAGAATACATGAAGTGCTTTTGCCAAAATTAAGTGTTTAAGATAAAATATGACTTTTTCAAAATGTGACTAAAAACTAAGCCAGTTTACTCAGAAGACTGTTTTGGCATCCAAATATGTATAAAGGCATAATATACTGAGCAATGACTGATCAGTCTCTATTCTTTCAATTAAACATGTATAATATTTAGACCTTAAATATCAAGATAAGCTAAAAATAGACCCATTCACTAAAAATCAAAAGTATTTAGTATTAGAAACTACTTGCAAAAATGACCAGTTGCCAATAAAAACTGCCTAGCCTTTAGACCAAGGAACTTTTCTAAAATTCGTAACAACTTGCATGGTAGGATGTAAGAATTGCACCTCATCAATGAAAACAATTACACAACTATATTTCATAGAGAGCATTCTCAAAGTACTGTTTTACTGTTCCAATTTAATGTTAAAAATCTATGAAAATATGAATTGCTAACTTCTAATAGCAACAAAATAGATTTGATAGTGAATGTAACAAGTAGCCAGCTATCAAAGTGATCCTCACAAGGCACTACAACTTGCTAAACAAACTCCATTTAAAATTGAAAACAGGATGGATTGTACTGTATTTGATACCTCTAGAATCTTCGTTTTGTTTTCTATTGCTATCTATTATTTCAAGACTGTACCTATTCCTACATAGGTACCAATAGAAACCATTTAAAAAGTACAAATGACAAATATTCATATACACCTGCTGTATTGGTAGAATTTAGCATCTGAGTTTAGAAAATATATTTCCCTTTTAGTAAACAAAAAATTTAGAGAAATCCATTACACCAGTTACCTTTTGCTAACCAACCTACTAATTCTTTTGAAGACTTTTTTTGTTGAGCACTTTAAGGATCTCTCATCCCTTCCCATTTGTTCCCTGTGGTACATACTGTATTGTTTTGCAAACAATTATACATCTAACCATACTTTGGTAAACAGCCAAAGATTAAAGTACATTATATAGTCATACAAGCACTCATGAGCAGAAATCAAATGCAGCTGCGGTGAGGGTGAAAACAGTTGTGCATTTGATTTGCATGCTTTGGAAGTACTGTAAAAACTCAGACAACTCCACAATTGGTAGTTTTATATTCTACCCAGTGAGATTATATCAAAATCAGTATGTGCTCTACACATACACTGCAAGCCCATATCATTCTTCAGCTGAACAGAATTTTTTAAAATATGTAAGTGTAATATGTATAAGTTTTAATATGTGTAAGTCCACCCACTGTGGTTTGGAACCGTGGTTAAGATTAACTTGTACTACTCCATCCTATCATGATTAAAGTCAAAAGTGAATTTTAAAGCCACCACTCAGCTTAACAAGTGAATCCAAACAGTCAATTATATGTCATGATAAACAGAAAAAGAAAAAAAAATGGAAGAGGAAGGAAGAGGGAATGCAAAAAGCTTTTTTTATAACTAGAAGTTGAAGTGAGAAATGAATCCCTAAACAATCCCTAAAATTATAAATTTTCCCTCTCTTGAGCTTTTGGTTTCTTAGCCTTTTGCAGTGAATGTACCACACTTCACACGTACTCAACAGACTTTATACCACGAATTAAATTCTGGTACACATTAAAAATCGACTGGACCAGTTACGGATTTCCTAATAGTGAGGAGAGTTGGAATTAAGAAAAATCACGAAGGCGAGAAAGAGGAATGCTCTGGAAAACCAGGATCGGGTTTCCAGCTGTTCCCTCCCCCATTAAGCCCGAGGAGACGAAAAAAAGAAGCCAGGCTCCTACACGCTTCGCCCTTAAACGCTCTTAGCCCAACGGTCGCTGTTAAGGCGCGCGCCAGGAGGGCGAGTCTTCTCGCCACGCCTCCTCCCTCCCCGCCAGGTCTAGTCCCAGGAGCCAAGCCGCTCGCGCCTTTCACGAGCAACAGCACGCGCCTCGCGCTTTCCCGTAGCTCGGGGCTAAGAGCAGCTGCTTGCTTTGCAGCGGCGGCAGCCACCGCCTCTTTCCACGCCCCGCCGGCACAATTCTCTTCTTTTGCGCACACGCCCTGTGATACACGTTTAAATATTTATTTTAAAAAAGAAAAACATAAAGGTTAAAAAAAAAAACCCCAAGGCGCAGCCACGCGAAAACTAGCTAGCTACACGCGCCCTCTGCTGGAAAGGCGCTTTTGCAAATCCAACAAGCTTTCAGGAAACTGGAGGTGTATGTAATACAAATATATATTAACGGAGGCAGCTGCACTTTTCTCCAGAGAGAGAAGATGGAGAATCTGAGAATATGCAAGCCTTAAATATCTTCATCTATGGGGGAATCCAGAGCAATAACTAACAGGTATGGCGCAGAGGTCAACTACTCGCACCTGGACTTGCGAAAAGACGCTATCGCCCACCGGGCTTCTACTTCTCGCCTCCCCCGCTCCTGGCAGCTGCTCCCACCAAGCGTAGACACGCCCCTATGAGATGCCTCTAGGTGCGCCGTTTTCCATTTTTCAAAGTAATCCCCTCTTTCACTCGTACGGTTTTATTGTACCCATCAACTGGCTCTTGGAAACTACCCCGCGCATATCCACCCTACAAAAGCGTGTGGCTGGATTTCGTGGGAATTAAGAGGGAAAACTTGCAGTTTTATAATGAAACGGGAGAGATTGAGATGCTTTTTTCCCCCAATCTCAACTTAGTTACTCCCCCCCCTTCCGCGTGCTGAGGGAAAGAGCAAGAAGGAAAAAAAGGCGCCCGTTAGCCACGCTATTCTCCACAAAACAGAAATGGCGTAAGAAAAACCCAACTCAAGTTATAGTTCTGCAGTTACCCACAAAGTAATAATCAATTTATTATTGGGGAGTGGGGGGGGAGACGACTTACCGGCCAAGCAAACTGAAAAGGTATTACAATCCTCCCCATGTCGTGGTTTTTACCCTGATGAAAATTTCGGCTGTTCAGATAAAAAGTATTTCCACCAAGAACAGGAGTAGATCCGGAGCCGAAGCTGCATGTCCCAATAGGCGTGATTTTAGCCTGATATTCCTTCAAACAGACTTTTACGTAAGTATCGCACTCATCCCGAGTACAGTCCACGTTCGTTGGGGGTTTCATGCCATCACAACATTCCCCATTCAACAATTCGCCGTTTACATTCTTTACCGAGTTAATCTGCAGCTCGAAATAGCCCGTGGACTGGGAGACCTAAAAATAAAGAAGCAAAAAGGGAGAACCTCATTAACGGTAGTGTCTGGGAAAGCGGGGGGGAGTGCATGGAGATTTACAAGCGGCCACTCGAGTTCCCAACCTTCTTCTGATAAAACTATTAAAAACTATAGACGCCCTATTAAAAGAGGCGTCGGAGAGAGGAAACACAGTGCCGCAATTCCGGCTTATCGCAGTAATAGGAAGGCTGGTTGCAAGCCGCGCAAAAGACCTGCAGAAATGCTCCATTGGCAGCTAAAATAGGCGCTTCGAAATTATTTGATGCCAGCCGAAAAGTAATTGGAAACGATGCAAACCGTGTTGCTTTTTAAAATCAAGGCGTTCGGGAAATGGATTAAAAACAACGCCGAGGGTGCTCCGCGCAAACGTGCAAGTTTGCCTCCGCGTTCTTCCAAAGCAAACATACAGTTGGAAGCACCGAGTTGTTAAGGGAGCTTTGCAGAGAGACATCAGTGACGCCGTAAGCTTTCCAATCTCCCCCCGAAGCAAAATCGGGTTTCTTTCTTGTTAGTTTCACAAAACAGAATGTGTATTTCCCCCCCCCCCCGCTTTCTTTCAAAAGGAAGGAGCGAAAAGGTACTCAAATCTCATCACCGGGTTTAAGTGGCAAGGTAAACCAAACGGCACAAAAGTCGTCCCCGATCGTTTTCCGCCCCAAGCTACCCTCCCCGCTCTCCCCTTTTGGAACAATTACCACCACCGCAAGCCAAACCTGCCGAACCGCAGGCAGTTCTTTTACCTGCGTCCATAAAGTTAGGAGCAGCCACAGCCTGAGCGCCGAAGCAAAAAGAGCCCAGTGCCGCCCGCCACAATCCAGCATGCCTGCTGCTCCGAGCTGAACGCCTTTGGATCAGGGAAGACAGGCAAGGACTCGACAAGCCATCGACCAGCCGCTGCTCGGCGCATCGGCGGCAGGAAGGCTTTCGCCGGGTGCAACCTGAAAACTCTCCCGAGCCTTGATTACCCGCCCTCCCCCGATGCTTAGCCGAACAGCCTGGGACCCGCGGGAGGCGCAAGGCAGCGCTCGCCAGCCGGGATCCACCTAGATTCGAGCACTCCGCAACAGAAAAAGGGAACGGTCTGCCGGCGGCGGCGGCCGTCCCTCGCAACTCCGCTCGCTCCTCTGTGCGCCTCTGCTGTGCGAACACCCAACAAGTAGGTGCCAGAGTGACAGCTTCATCGCCCATTAGTCAGCAGCGCCTCTGCCTTCATATTAATGAGGGGGAAGGGCCCAGAGCAGCAGCGGACGGGTGTGGCCACGCGACTCCTTCAAGGGCGGGGGGGGGGGGGGGAAGCGAAATGAAAAACGCTGGAGCGTGCGCAGCCGTCGGAGGTTTTTCCAACCTGTCATTTATCTCCCGCCCGGCGAGGGCCCTGCGGCGGGGAGTTGCGCAAGCGGTCTCTTGCGCGTGGGCAAGGCCCTGCCCAGTACGTGCGCGGCGCTGTGGGGGTAGGAAGGGACGTGTGCCTTCTTGCCCCGTAACGTGTGCTAGACTTCCCTTCGGTGCCAGTAAAGGAGTGGTATCTCTTGTGCTCAGCAAACGTGGTGTGCCTTGGGATGGCTGCTTACAGTTATACTTGTCTGTGCGCGTTCGGAGATAAATTTCTCTGAATTAATCTAATTTTGAGTGCTTTGTCGATTTCCCCCCATCCCGGAAACCATGCCCCACTCTTCGATCCTACTGTATCCAAAGGAATCGGAGAAAAATATGCTCAGGCAGTTTACTTCTAGCGTTTGGAACTGAAACATGAAGGCCCGTAAAAGAAGTTTTGTAATGCTCCTTTACGGATAAGTGTTCCATCGATAAGGAGAATGATGTTTCTTTTCAGTTTGTTATGAGAGCAGCAACCAAAATAATGGAAATCAAAGACAGTATTCCTAAATTACAAGTCTAAATTACAATGCCTGTGTTAGCTGGGAGGACATATTGAGAAATTTAACCCTTCACCTATAGTACCAGATTGGTTGAGTTAAATCTGTCTTATCATCCAGGAGGAATAATGAATAAATGCCAATGAGACTTTTTGCTCAACATGCTAGGCTATGATTTATGGAAGCCAGTCTGAAATTACAAAATCATAAACCATACTGCTTGAACTTGTACAACACAACCAGAAACTAACCTATACCATTTTAGCCTAGCACGTTTCAGCAACCTGCAAGTTTTGGTTCTTATCATGTGATTCATCCAGTCTGACCATTTCATGAAGATCCTTGTTCTAGCCTTGGTTCTTTTCTCTGTAGAGCTCAAGATTGGTTCAAAAATTATGCCAAGCCATAAATGGTTTGCTTTGTTGTTGTATAATGCCATCCAGCAACCAGCCGCTGAAGTTTATAATGAGTTCTTGGTTAATGATTAATTGCTAGTGGTTATAATAGCACAGCATGTGTAAATGTAGCCTATCATGGTTTAGTGAACAAAATAAACTGGGTTTGCATACTGAATCTAGTCTATGACTGGATTTCTTACCTAAGCCACAATTAGCAGGGTTTACACAAGCTAATTTAAATGCATCTGTTAATAGACTATAATGTTGGATTTATACAACAAATATATTAAGTCTTAATGTACTTTGGGTTTGACATTTGTGTGAATCAGATATTTGTGAACTATGGTTATGGCTTAGTTATATTGTTGAGCATGTTCATTTTTTTTTAATGTATATAGTCCCCCAACTCACTCTCAGTGACTGCAGGCAGCTTACACAGATAAAGGCCCATTGACAAATTAGGCCTTCGGGACCTTGCAAAAGAATGTAAAAGTGGGAGCCAATCTTATATCTGTGAGGATGATATTCCATAGGGAGGGGCCACCGTGGAGAAGGCCTTTCTTCTTGGTCATGCTAGATCATGGGTGTCAAACTTGCAGCATCATGTTGCCATCATGGGGCATTTTGCAATTTTTTTTCCCTTCATGGAGCTGGGATGGCCGTGGCCTGTGGCACATCCAGCCTGCAGACCGCCAGGTTGACACTCCTATGCTAGGTGTATCTCCTTAGGAGAGGGCACCTGTGGCATTTCCTGTCTCTTCCTCTAATGGATTGGGTAAATGTGACTAGGAAAAGCAGTGCTTCAAATAACCTTAAAGCCATGTAGGGCTTTAAAGGTGGCAACCAGCACCTTGTATTGGATCTGGCAAATTGGCAGCCAATGCAGCTCTTTCAGGAGAGATAACACAGGTGAGTTTCAAGGTGTGCTGCATTTTGAACCAATTGAAGCTTCTAGATACTTTTCAAGGGCATCACCATGTAGGATTAGTTGCATTTGTGGCTGAGCAATAAAAATCAGCTAATGATTCTGTTGTCAGAAAGAGATGAAATGAAATTCCATTTACTGAATGCATTCTATAAAAGCCTTGTCCAAGTGGCATCTTCCATATGGTTTTGGTCTCCAATTCCAGTATCCCAATCTGAACCATTGAGAGGCACCAGAATGACAATTTAACAAGTAAAATCAAAACCAAGTCCTACTATGGCCATTTCCATGATGGGCCTTAAAGTTTCTTCATTGCATTATATAGCTATCACTGAAGTAATACATATGCCTTTCTTCATTTGCTACAAATTATTTTAATTAACAAAATAATGGTTAGATGACGCTAGAACAGGGGTGTCAAACTTGCATCATAAGGTATCATACTTCCCCCCTTTGCTAAACGGGGTGGGCATGGCCAGCGCACAACTCATCCGGACTGTAAGTTTGACATCCCTGCTCTAGAACACTGGTTGCCAACCGGTGGGCCATGAGAAAATTTTGGTGGGTCACAGAGAAATCTCACCCCCCAGAGCACCTCCCCAAAGCAATTAATCCAAGCTGTGCAGAAACACAAAGCTGCACCATCCACATGGCCCGCGGGAACCCTCCCCGCCCACTCCTTACCCAGCAAACTTGCCTGCTAAATTGATATTTTTCCTTTTTCTGACCATCAGCTGTTCTGCTGTGCCAGGAGATTTAGATTAGCTAGGAAGCAGGAAATAGTTGGATTTCTTGCTTTCTAACTAGTCTTTAGATCTTCGGCTCTGCTTTTAAGCACAGCCAAACCTCCCTTCAGACTGAAGGTTCTATTATTCAGTGCAGACTCACAGCAAGCAAATTTGAGAGACTGAGCTAGCTGATGGCAGATAGATCACTGAATGAATCTGTGATTCTGTGAGCAACTCAGTCTGCTTGCCTGCTTTGCCTGATTTTGGGTAAAAGTTGCTCTTTTTTATTAAAAAAATAAATATTTATATAAATATTTATAATATTTACATGCAAGCCATGCCCAGCCAGTCACATGACTACCAAGCCACACCCACAAATTAGGCCATGCCCACAGAACCAGTTAGTGGTCCGTGGGATTTAAAATTATGAGTTTGGCAACCCCTGCTCTAGAAGATGTTATAAAGGAAATTACCATTGACTACAAGATACTGAGCCATAAGCCATTTAATCATAATTTAATCTAGCATGTTGTATAAACCTACCCTATAACTTATCAAGATTAGTTGTTTATAAACTGATTTGTGTGAACCAGACTTCTGTAAAACTAGGATTTAACTTGTATGAATCTAAACTAATGTTTGGGCTGATACTTAAGGCACTTTTTCACATAAATGCTTACTATACTTCAGTTTTGGCTTGGAGGGTACATAAACTCAACCAATAAAACAGATGCTCCATGTTAAATTGATGTGAAAAATGAGATCTACCAAAAAATCTCATCTCATCTTAACAAAATTGTTCTGAGTGCCAGCCAACTAACAATGATATCCTTCAAAATACCATTAGTTGTGTTGGCTGGGGGTTATGAGAGTTTGTGCAGTACAGCTGGAGGGCATCAGATTGGAAAAGGCTCTCTAAGCCAATAAATTCCCACTCACCTTATTCCCTGTCCTGCCTTCCTCTTCCCTATAATATTTCTTTAATATACAGTATAATATGTAATAGTTCCCCTGACTGACCATTGGGTGCTCAATTTTTTTGACATTGGAGAAAAGGCAGAGATAACATGCATTTCTATAAATCTTAAGCCTTCCCAAACTATAAATTCTTGATACTTTTTGTTTCAGTTTTTTGTTGTATGAAAATTTCTATTTGTATAAGGCTGGCTGGATTCCCAAATTGCACTAATTCACGCTTTGCTAGGTAAACCCCAGTGTAGCTACAAGCCAAATACCTGCATGACCCCAATTTGATCTTGTGGCTAGAAACCAGGAAACCGAATTCTCATTCTGCCTTAGCCATGAAAGCTAGCTGGGTGGCTTTAGGCCAGTCCCTCTCTTAGCCCATCTCACCTCACAGGGATGTTGTGGGAAAATGGAGGAAAGAGTATTATGTATGTTCATTGCCTTAAGCTATTTATAAAAATAATAGATGCAATAGAAAACTAACACTGAAAAAAAATGCAACCCAAACTTCTTGCAGTTAAGGATGATCACATCATTACTGTAAATCACCTGTAGCAAAACATTCATTCTTTTCCAGCTGTTCTGTGAGTGCTGAGGGTATCAGTTGATTGATGTCAGCTGCTTGGGCATCCACATAGTTATATGGTGTACTCAGCAGCTTCTAAGCCTCAAAAAACTATCCCTTTATCATTAACCCTTTCATCCTACTGCTCTATTAGAGAGGCTTGTTGGGAACAAATAACCAAGAAGTCAATGGACTGTAATCACCCTGCTGGGCTTGGAAACATTTCATAAAGCAAGCCCCCTGCCCCCCTTTTCAGAAATCCAGCCTGATTCCTCAGCTGCCAACCGGCACACCACTCTTCTGCTATTCATGGTCAGCATATAGCTGAGCTACAGTACCTCCTTCAGCTGACACAAGAGCAGCTGCTAAATGGGAGCCAGCTGGCCAGCTGCTCACCCCATTTCAGCTGCTTCTGCTGCACTTCATCTGTCCCATTACCCCTTATGACTCCTGTCTTTTATCTTCAAGCAGTGATGGGCCTACTTGTATAGTTGTGGATCCTCACTTTGGATGGTCTAGGAACCATCCCTGTCAAAGTGGGTTGGGGAAAGGTGAGAGGAGAGCCAGGATCGGAGTTCACTAAGATGTACTTTAACCATGGTTTGCTAATTAAGTAAAAGGCAAAAGAGGTATGTGAACTGTAGAGTAACCAGAGCACAAGACAAAATAGTTGGGTTTACAACAGTAAACAATAGGTTA